ATAGGCCACAAATGACCATTACAGTCTCCACTGTCTTTGTTGGTGATGCATTTTTGTCGGTAGTGCCAGCTACCTTAAGCGTGCCTGTGATATCTAAGAATTTCGTCACCGCAACCAGCGCATCAGACGGCCTCCTACGGACAGCCTTCCGAAATGCGGTTTAGCAGCAATAAGGGTACCGCCGCGTCGGTTATGCTGAAAGACCATTAGTTATTTGTAAAATTTAAAGGTCAACACAACTGGAAGATCTTCGAAATCCGTATGCAAAAAGCAGAAAACCGCAGACTAATCATTTCTATATTCAGAGAACTTATTTGAAAACGGCAAGTTCAGCAGGCGTCTTGCCGCCAAAAGCACCTTCTCTGCAGAAGTAATCGCTGACAAGCTCCTTCGTCTTGGGGTCTTCGGGTTCCAGCTTAGTCCATGTATAGGATTCGTAGTCGATCTGAAGATCTTCACTCAAGTCGAAGGCCAGACCAGTACCACGCCAGACCCAAACTCCGGAAATAGTGCTGTTGTTGTTCTCTCCGAAAACACCCATTACAGCGAAGGCGTACTTTTGCATCCTGTGAAAATGATGAAAATATGAGAGGAATATAAGTATGTATGGTTACGCTGATAAGACTTCAGTTATTAAAAGAAGGATAACTGATCCAAAAGCGGACGATATCAGCCAAAAATCACTTATCATGCATGTAAAACAATGACAGCACATTCACGTATACAACAAAAATAGCCTTACCTTTCAAGGCGCTGGTACATTCCCCGAATAAGGTTTGCCGACATAAAAGTAAGCTTCAGCTCTTCTGGATAATTATACTCACAGTACCAGATCGAATCTGTCGTAGGGTCGAACTTTTCCCAGAAGAAGGGCAATGCGACAGTTTTGATGTCATTGTTGGAGTAGGTGCGTTTAAAGGTATCGTAGTCGAAAGTTCCTACAGGAAGTGCGGCAAAGGGATTCTTTGAGGGCTTGGGTGCCATTTCCTCCATCTCTTCGTCATCGTTTTCCTTGGGTTTCTGTGGCTTCTGCTCCTTTTTCTGTGGTTTCGGCTTTTCGGCTTTCGCAGCTTTCTTTCCGTCTCCCTAAAACTCATTAAATTTTTTTTTCAAATTACCTTTGGCATATGTTTTTCGTGATTCTTGGGATCATACACAGCCGCCTTCTTACACAGTTTAGGAGCGCCAGCAACTTTCAAAACTTCTGGTTGGTTAGCGATGGTCATGAACCAACGATGAAAATGTGGGAAAGGCTTCAGGGCCTCCTCATCGAGTAAATGTTCAAAAAGCATGTACGCAACGCTGTAGAGAGTGAGGTCAGCCTGAGTAATCGATTCACCAACGAGGAACGTTCTAAAGTACCAAATATTTGTTGGCGTATTCCTACCTTGAAGAAAGATACTCATTCAGGAACGAAAGAGCCTTGTTAACATTTTCATGAGCTTTGGTAGCTTGCTGTTTGTTGTAGGAAGTAGCCCCGAGGATGGGATACAACCAGGCAGCAACGGAGGGCAGAAGGATGTGATCAGTGAAGTTCACCCACTGCGTGACAAAGTGCTCCTGGTCGCCACCTACACAATACACATTCACTCTCTGAACATACCGCGCAGTTGCTTGTTGCCCAGGTAAAATGAAATCGCGTTCGCATCAAACAGTACTGTGCCGTCGGCGGCTTCGAACAGAGGAGCGACGTCGGCTGGGCAGTTTTTAAGGTTTTTCGGCAAAGGCGATTCGCCGGGGCAGTAATCAACAACCTTAACGTTTGCATGACTGTATGCGGCAGCCAATTCTGCGCGAAGGCTTTTGTGGTAGGACTTCGGAGAATAGATTGTTCCAGACACAACCATCTTCAAGAGAGCAAAACCGTGCAAAAAACACGCGTCAGCAGCAAAAAGCCCAAAAGTGCCGGGCAAACCGAAAACACTGATGAAGACAAACAAGCAGTACAAATAACACCAAAATGAACTTCAACTGGGTTTAATAATCTAAGCAATGTATATGGCCTGTAAATAGAAGAGTTAGTGAACTTACGCTCCGTATTGGTAGCACAGTGACTAAGAAATGCATCGATGCAATGGAAAAATTCAAAAAGTGGTCGTTTACCTGAGTGCAGGCGAAAAACGAACAGCCGTTGGTTAGTCTAAATAGTAAACATACAGGACCACTCATTTATTACGAGGAGTATACGAATATTTGTAATTATTCTGTTCGGATATGTATCTGGGGCTCACTGACGATGCCAGTAGTTAGAACAAAAGCTGAACGAACAGACAGTGAAAAAACTCTCCGGGCATTTTCGGAAAGTATAGCAGTTTGAGTGTCGTTTAAGGAATTTTAAGGAGAAAAAACTCTCATTCGTGACACGAAAATATAGGTGATATAGAACTGTCCTGCTGTTAGTAATTTGGCAGACAGGACATGGGAGCCCCTCGCGGGCATCATCAGTATGCTAAAGGTCACAACAGAGAGGGGAACGTACAGGTCACGAGCTTTTCGTCAAATTGCCGGAGCGGAGAGGATGAGCTACTTCACTAAGAATGTGATCGTCAAATTGCTTGGTCGTTTTAAAGTGGCGCTGTATTTTAATATCAGCAAAAAAAATAGGAGACACCGGTAGCTGAAGAGAGCATTCGGAGGATACGTTTAAAAAATTACCAGCTCTTTTTAAGTAAAGCTGGAAAACTAACTGGAGATGAGTAAAGACTGAGGGTGAGAATTCA